CCCCCCCCCCAATTTGGTCTGAAGTCTGTGAGGAGGGAGAAGTGATGTTAATGCATGAACTAGAATGAATTAAGCAAAAAATATTCCTAAGAGAAATGTATTTTCATGCAAGACCCATGTTATTTACTGCTCATGTCTTTGTTCTTCTCATCAAGATAGCAAAAATTTTTGCTGTAATATTTTGGTTTTGTTAGTGTCCCGTTCTTTGTTTCAAGAGAAAATTAAAAATTTGTTATGAATATTCTCTGATTGCAATATTGCACATATGTGTATATGTGGGTGGCATCATTCCTTACCTTTATATGTTACTAATAAAGTATATAACATGTAACTTGATTGGAGCAAAGATTACCATTTTTGACAGCTGCTGATACAGCTTATGGTCTAAGAATGATTCATTTTTTTCCTTAGAAGCTGCCATTTAATGTAGGAAAATTTTATAAGTGAATGATACACTGTCATTAATAAACATGCATGCACATGTATATGCAGAGTGCATTTATGTGGGGTATATAAATGTAATCTACACAAGAGTATTGGCTTACAGAGACATTTTCTCAGGCTCTGGAATTAAAAGTATTAGCATCACTAGTTGATTTGCAGTGCTCTAGCACAGTGATTTCTCCTCCTTTGCTTTGGAAGAGGGCTGTGAGGAAAAGAAAGTGCAGTTAACCCCTAAAGCAGAACAATCCAAAGCCATCTCCTTAAGGCTAGTGCAAATATTTTATTAAAACACCCAGCTGTAGAGAGATTAGCTGGGGAAAGAGGGTAGAATAACTTCTTAGAGAGGATAGATTGAGACATTACATTCTGTTACGGCCCAACTTTTGTTTCTAAAACCAGAGGTGTCTTCAGTGGGAGCACAGTAGGACTGTTGCGAACACTCTGCAAGGGTTTTGTCACTTCAGGTGTTTAGTATTGATCCCCAGCACATCAGCTGTGAGCCAGATAAGTTGAAGGAACCTGCTTCAAAGAAAGTAGTCACTTTAAGAAAAAGTTTTGGGTTTTTTTTACCTCTCTTTTCCACAAAACTGGGATTACCTCTTAGCAATTTTTGTATACGAGATTCTTCACAGGTGCTGCAGAG